GAGAGAGAGAGAGAGAGAGAGATTGTGAGGTGTCTTAGAGGGAAACGGGCTGTTACATTAGGCTATGACTGTGACCCACTTTTGGGTCGGGCAACTAGCTCATACATTGAAACTTAACGGTACCGAGATGCTTCGCCTCGCCTGACATCAATTCGTTCCCCGATATAATGCGGCATACGCCGTACACGCATTAGCGTTTTACACAATCGATCGTTGATGTAAAATTGTGATTGCGAGAGAATTCAAGTTGGAGGTCGTTCCCAACGAGATTTATGACCCCGTCAGAATTTTTTTTAGTAACGGTCAAAGACGGCGCAGCGTTCGCCGCACGCGAATTGCGGCGCTATGACATTTTCTTCCACCGACATTTGCTCGCGACTTATGTTGATAAATTTTGCGCATTTTATTTCATTCTTTAAAAAATTCATTCGATTAATTAAAATTATTACTACAATACGCGTTACGTCTATATTTCTTATGTATTCTCTACTGCAATCTTATGCGCCAATACTATCTGTTTTCGTCTGAAAGTTCACGTGTTATTTCGGAGCGGAGAGCACGCGCTTCTTTATCTTCCTCTGACGCAAGCGCGCTGCTCTTTCGTGGATAACTGTATCGCACGACCGTATGAATCATTGTCAAAGCAGACTTCTGTCATTCCGTTATACGCCTCTGATATTCCCGACTTTTTAAGTTTAACGTGGCATATGTTTGTTTATCCACTTTCCGTTCTGTCGACACACAATGCGCTAAAGACCCAGAAAAGATTCCTGTTATCCGATTAATGCACATCTTCAATTTTTTACCGATAGCAACAACTGTTTTGAGATTCAATACATTCAAAACATAGATGGTATCAGTATAGACTTGTAACAAGTTCGATAAATAATGTCAATAAGTTATCAAATTTAATATTCCGCATTAATAAAATATCATCAATTATCATTTTACATCACGTCCGCCTGATATCGACGCTTGTCGTAATCTCGCTGCCGAGCTATCGGTCATATTTTCAATATGTATCCTTTCCGCGATTCAGTTTCGCAATTATGTGCCGCTTATGCTGTCCCAGCATCCGCGGGAGGGGATCGTTGAACGGTCGGCGAGATCATTAAGAGAGAATTATAAGCATACACGTTGACGATACGAGAGCGAAGTGTTACGGGCGGGAATGTGGAACGTAGGTATATCGTGAATGAACAGTTATAGACACCGGGTGAAGGTTGGCTGATATACACTTCGGAGGAGATCAGAAAACACGGAAGCGTTTATCTAACCACCGTTGACGGCCATTCAGGGAGGGGGAACCTACCACCTTGAGGCATCACTTCGTAATGTTTTATTTCACGGGGAGTTTTTCTACCCGCGGTAAAGGGGTCTTTACTTTCGCATTAATGTGTGAGATAATCTCTCGAACGGAAGAATCCTGTCTATCGCCTGAGAGAATCACGTACCGTCGTGAGGTATCGCGACGGCAGGTTCCGGCGAATTATCTTTATGAGGATTTAGATGAGAGAAGAGAGTGCTGTGTAAAAAGATATTAATATGATTTCGAGCACGTCAAATCAAGAATTAAATGCCGATTGCGTTTGTAAAAACAATAAATATTTTTAAAATAGTGCAGGTATTTAAAAAAAAATGTTCAAGGGAATTGGTCGGAAATCGACTTGTCACTTGAATGGATGTAATAATGGCTATTCCTTCGTTCTTGCAGGCACGGGAAGAAACATCAGACACTTGCCCTGCGTGTCACGCAGGAGTGGTGAAACCGGTGTGTGCATGTTCGCGTTTACCTGCGCGAAAGCTAATGGCACGCATCTTGGTACCTGCATCGATCGCTTCTACTTCGGTAGCTGTTGCAAAATTGACGACGAGCCGGACATCTTCCCGCAGGATAACAGCATCGACGACGGTCCGTCACCACCAAGGCCGTTCGTCACGACTCACCGGCCTATCGGGAGCAGCGGCATACCGGAGTACTTCGCGAGGCCCAAGCCGACCGATGAAAAGAAACCAGTCGAGGCTTCGCAAATCACGGCAAGTAGACGATCGCTAATGAAGCAGCGAGGCGGCCTTAGCGCGTTTCGCCATGTGTCAGTAGAAATGAGCGGTGTGACAGCTTGAAGTTCCTAGAGACGGTTCGATGGAATCGAAGTAACGTCCTTCGCAAATAACTAGTCTGTCAAATCATCCGTAGCGAACTACTATAATGCTCCATAAAGCAGACGTGAACTGATAATAAATGATTTGCGTCTTTTTTTTATTTAAAATAGTGATTACCATAATTCAATCTTATCTGCAGTAAATTTTAGTTTCAGAAGAAGAAATCAATTTTTTCGACGACAGTGAGTAATGATAAAGAGTGAAGTAGTTTAGATTACGATACGCGAGAAGGAAGAAGACGTGTTATTTTCTCAGTTCATTCAGATGTGTTATAATAACTTTCTCTGCGTGAGATCATCGAGATAGACACAGTAGCTTGTGTGATCTCACAATTGATTCATGGATTAAAGAAAGAAAGTTGCTCATTAAAGCGATTAATGATCAACAATGTAATGTGTGTAAAAATCCAATTTACAAACACGCGGATATTTCGCAATTTTTTGTATTAGTATATTAAAACAAAATTGGGTAAATAAAAATCTTTTAAAAGATGATGATTTACAAAATTTGTATAACATATACATAATAATCTTCATTCAAAATGTATTTTCTTTAAAATATATATTTTATTACTTCTGTATCATTATATCTAAAATTTCAATTTTCTTTATATGCAAATAGATTAATTTTTTAAATTAATAAATTAATTAGAGATAAATTAATTCTATTAGTCAATGTTGCTCTTAGAAGATTAATTTATCGAATCTTATTGCATCTATATTAATAATTAATTTTATAATTTTATAGACAACATCTGCATTCTTGAAAACGCAAAGCACGCAGACTTCAGCAAATACGATGAGAGACACGACAAAGTTCGTGACAAAGAAGCCAACGATCATGACGATAGAAACGACAACGCAGACTACTCGCCTCTCGACATTCCAAACCGTGCAACATGCTGCCAGACCCAGCACGGAAGCCACGTTGTCGAAGAGAACCAACAGTACTGTAAATATTCCAGCGAGTATATCATCAAGTATATCATCAACGAGACCTACGAAACCGTCCACTTTGGCCTCTACCCTACGACCTAGCACCGTGAATATAACAAAAGTAACAACACTGTTGACCACGAAGAAGCCTGTCGCGTCCACGACAACAGCGCAAAGGCCAACGGTGCAGACCTCTCAGAAACCGCTCTCTTCGACTACTCGCCGGCCGGTTCTTCAACACGAATCGACCGCGACTACGATAAAAAACGTTCTCGCGACTACCACGCAGAATGTGGTGCCTTCGACCAGATTCCCACCGCGAAACACGACGTCGGTTAAACCGCTGACTCAGACGATCACAAGGAAGCCTAGCACCAAGAGACCTAGCACCACCGTGACAACGAAACGTCCGGTGGCGACCACGAAGAAATCCACTACGTTGACGAAGAGACCGTCGACTCCTTCGAGACCTCTCACTTCCAGTTTCGGTACCACTTCGCCGGTGACGACTAAGCCTCACTCGACCTCCGGGTCGTTCAGCAACGTCGGATCTTCCAGCGTGAGCGTCAATCAAGCAACGGAGAGTACTTTAGCCTCCACTGGGATTAGACCATCGACTGCGACGACGGCAACTACGAGCGCTAGTGGTCAGAAGACCACCATTACGACGAAGAGTCCGGGTCAGACAGTGCCTGTCAAAACGACAACGCCGAAGACGACGTTGAAGACGACAACGAGATCATCGACGATCAGGACGACCACCGCTAGACCATTCACAACGACTAAAACAACGATCGGCATATCGACCGCGGTTAAACCATTGTCTTCGACCACGGCTAAACCGTCTTCGTCCTCGACCACCACAACGAAATTGAAACCCACTAAAATCATTAGCACGACAACGAAGACCACGAGACCCGAACACACCAGCACCACGGCGACCACGGAGAGAACGAGGCCGTTGTCGTCAACTGCCGGGTCAACGGTTAGCGTTACGAAACCAAAACCCAGCACGACGAAACCAACACCCTTGACGAAGCTTCCTGTGAACACGTCCAGTATTGTGGAGGTCACCACAAGTATCTCGAGTTCGATATCCACGTTTACCGTTAGGAACGAGAGCACCTCGACCCACGTACCTCCTACCAAGGGTCAGAATGTTAATCACACCCTCGAGGAGATCCCGTTGACTACCTACTCGCCAGGATTAGTGACGTGGAGCTCCAACTCTGACGAAGTTTCTACAAAAGCGTCCAATGAAACGTCTTCGTCAACGTCAACGGTAACTACAACGTCAGGTGAATAAAATATTATTAAATTTATTTCCTAGTTTCTTTATAAGAATATTATAAATCAATTGCAATTGCATAATTAATAGCTTGCTTTAACTATTACACTTAATTACAATGTTAAATTAATTGTAATATTAATCATAACGTGTTTATGTTTAATTATTTTCGACATTGGCTCTTATCACACTGAAAGTAGGAAGATCTTGAATTTTTAACGATTATCGTCAATCTGAAAAGCGAAAGCAAAAGACATAGAAATTACACGGCAAAATCCGTCAACGGGCTTTCGTCATTCCCAGCGTTTTGATGCATACGGCGTGCCATTCCATACAACGATCGCTATCATGATTTCCTACTGAGACGGCAAGGGCTTCACGTTACACAATGAACGTCCGTTTTCACCAGTTAGCATACAGACGCAGAACGAATAAAACTGCTAATCACGTTTCCGATAATTCCTCGAAGGGTCGATCGATGCCGACGAAGGGAGCATATATAAAATCCGCGACTGCCCATTGCCAAGTGTAAAACGGATCAATACTTCACAAAAATGTATTACCGAGTGAAAAGAATTAAATATAAACTGAAATAACTTTCCCGGCATAAGACTTTTGAAAAAATCAAGATTAAATTCATAATTTTGTGAAGTTCACTTAAAAAGTGAGATTATATTCAAAGTGGATTTTTGTCCTTTGTATGTATCCATCTTTTGCCCCTTGTCCAATATTTATTTGTAAGTTTACAACTTTCTGTTTCGAATTTAATAATAATATCACGCCTACAATTCAAAAGGCAAAAAGCACAAGTTCACTTTTAATAATATTTTAATAAGATTAACGGCACAATTGTTCCGACCGAACACTGCCACGCGCGGCGCCAAGTTCCAGAAGACGTTACACCTCTTTAAGCGATATAATTGCATCTCGATTGCATGCAGCGCAAAAGTGAGTTACGCCGAGCCACATAAGTAGGTAATCCGTCCCGCATTCTGCGTTCATTCGACAAACGGTTACTTTATTCTACCCGAACGAGCCGAGCTCGCATCGTGGATACGAGCCAAGGTCGTTCCTCGGATCTTAGGAAAGATAATCGCGTAGAGACGCTGTGTATCATGCCGTTGCTCCAATAGCGCGAGCACTCTGATATACATATATATATGCCGTCGGGATAGAATGTCGTAACGGTTCACAAACCGGCCACATCCCGGGCTCTCCGCCGACGCAATTACGGTCATCTCTCCCTTGCGTATCTCCGTCCGTCTCGTTGCGCGAGCAAGACTTCGAATTATCTTCTAATAACTATGATTCGCCTCGCTACCTCGCAAGAGAAAAAAACGGAACTCGCTCTTCTCTCGACCACCCCAAATTGGAGAATCAAACCGGTTCACGCCGCCTCAAATTAGCATAGTACATCCGTCCGAAACTAACATTTTCTGAGAAACGCAGGTCCACGAACCTGAAGAAAAAGTTCTTCTGATTTTTTTTGTCTTTTTAGTACAAAAGTATCCTGTTGGATGAGCTTTTTTCCCAATTTTGAAATTAATTTATTTTCTCAACGAATTATATCCCATTGCGATAAGTTATCTATTCCTGGTTCCCCTGGATGAAAAGAATTATGACTCTTCGTATATAAATTCGCGGTTAATTAAGATACAATTAGGTTTTATATTTATTACGTTTTTGTTCGCTTCGCAGAGCAAGCGGAAACTGATTGGGACCCGATAACAACTCCGGACGGTTGGATAATGATTCAGTCGCCTACTACCGAAAAGTTACCGCAGACTCAAGAGTCGACGACCGAACCGGTTACGGAATCCACTATACAGTCTTTGACTTCTGGTAAGGCATATTAATTGTAGCCTTTGTGAGCGTACTCCGCGATTTGCGGAATTTGCTCGCGATGGAGCAACTTCCAAGAATTGACAAACGCAATCATGCAAACGAGCAACAACTTGGAAGGAATATCTTCTAACGAGTCGTAATAACAAGAAATCAACTAGAAATTCTCAGTAAATTTTAGTATTATAATGACAATCTATGTATTTCAGAATTTTCTTCTGTTGAAGCTCTTTGCGACGGCACGCAATTTCAATTTTATATAACTTTTATATAGAAAATTATGTCGCTCTTTCTATTTCATGCAAGATGTAGCAATGCTTTTAATTAATTAATTAATTAATTAATCTTTTGTTACTTCGAATTTTCAGCAAAACCGATAACAGAGAGCACTACCGATCCCGACACCATGAAGAGACCGACGATAACAAATTTGTCAGGCGTTACGATCGACACGGAACTTCCGGTACCGATGGAGACCCTCAATATGTCGGACTATAAACAAGGTTAATACTTAAAAGCCGAACGGATTATGGTGTAACATTACGACGAGCGCTTCACGTGCACGAGCGGGTGCATGAATAAAAGAAATTAGATCGTTCCCAGACTGGGTGACCGGAACGAATCGTTACTCGACTAGAACTAGTCTCGGGACTAAAAACAAAATGACGGGTGAAATGCGGAACTGGATTCGGGTCACTGTCGGAATTCACGTTATTCCGTTCGATTTTGCCCCAGTTAAATCCCGAAGATGATCTAACTTCTGATCGCGACATTTTCATCGTCTCCTCGCGGTAATATTAAACTTCTCGTTTGTCAAGGCAGACGTCTCTATTAATTCCAACAGAAGTCGCACATGTACATTTTACGTGCAAAGAACAATTCCAAGTATTAAAAAAAAAAAGATTTATGTCCGCATAGAATTTTGTGACTTTCCTACTCGCCAAATAATCGCAATTTTCAGATCTGCTAAGTTTTTACAATTTTCCGCGTATTCTTTATCGTTATACGCTTCAACTACGTGAAATTTTTAATACCATCACATAATTTTTACTGCTTACATATTTTATTTAAGTTGTTAAAATCACATCGCGTGTGATTACTTACAATAATGGCAAACGCTATAATTTATGGATTAACGATTACTCGACCCCACTTTGTATGCCATTACCTAAGTTACCGCCGTCTAAGTTGCAATGGTACAACTTAATTTAAATAATGATAGTATAGTCATAAATTTTAACGTCGGTAATTTCCCGTAATCAATACGATGCCGAGTATCGCAAGTACGCCGACAATATTGCCGATACAAAAATTCTAATTCCGCCTACGGGCAAACAAAAGAATTATGTGCGCGACGCATGCATCCGCGCAACGGTACCGGTTCATCCAGTCGAACAAGCGCAGCGCGTCCGTTCTCCAACATGACCGTCCAATTGGGACTGATGCGATTTAACTCGACAATGCTTATTCTTGCAGTGTGCGGACGAAGATTATTCCCAGAGCCCAGGATCGTCGGCGGTGACCGGAGTTCCTTCGGAAAGTGGCCTTGGCAGGTGAGTATTAAAAGAGTTAACAGAACTTCTATATTTACGCAGATATGTCGAATCGTAATATTCTGCCACGTTATCATTCTGCCTATGCACATTTTGCTGAATGTATCAATGTAAATCAAACCTGATGATTACTTGAAGATAATTTAATGTTAAGTGCGTAATTCTGAAAAAAAATCTATTAAAGAAGAAATGCGGTAAAATTTGACCTTTCCGAGATCACAAATCAAAGTTCGATCTAGCGTCTGCTGAACGATCGCAACAATAGATTGCTTTAAATATGCAGGAAGACGTAATCGCGTGATGACGGCTTTTCATTTTATTACGTACTAGAGATAATGCGTAGATCGATACGTCGCGACGTATACGGCGACTGATTTCCTCACGTGGCGGATTTCCTTGCAGATCTCATTACGTCAATGGCGATCGCAGACGTATCTGCACAAATGTGGCGCGGCATTGTTGAACGAGAACTGGGCTATTACCGCGGCGCACTGTGTCGAAAGGTAAGTGTTTGCCATGGCTACGACGCTCATAATCAAGTTTTCTCCCACTCGCACGATCGTCCCAGTCATCCACGGCGTTCTTTGACGTTGCAGCGCGAAGCATCCTCGTGACAACACGCACGCGCTTTATGATATCCCCACGCGATGAAAAGAAATTGTTTCCGCCTGTATAAACATTTTCTCGTCTAGTATATTTGCAAAGCGCGACCAACATTATTATATGGCTTGTCGTCCTAAAGTAGAGCATTATAAGAAGCTCCAAATTCCTTTCAGGAGAATCAGAATTCTGAGACACTTTTTTTTTCGGAATTTTACTATTCACATTATCATCATCAATCTCGTTTCAATCTCTCTTCTGGAATTCTTTTTTAATTTTTCAACGCTGATTTTTTTTTCTTAATTTTTAAAGATATATCTTAAAGATATTATTTTTTGAGATAAAACGGAAGATTGCAAAATAGCGTTTCGGATGGAATTTTCCGACAGGTTGATATATCGATTTGTGTATTTTCCAGCGTACCACCTACCGATCTATTATTAAGGATCGGCGAACACGATTTGGCGAATGAAGACGAACCGTACGGGTATCAGGAGAGGAGAGTGCAGATTGTGGCAAGCCACCCACAATTTGACGCGCGTACCTTCGAGTACGATCTCGCCCTGTTGCGATTCTACGAACCCCTTCTACCCTTTCAACCGAACGTCTTGCCGATTTGCCTGCCCGACGACGATGAAACTTACGTTGGTCGTACCGCCTACGTTACTGGCTGGGGCAGACTTTACGATGGTATTAAAATGGACCGCTCATAATTAATTGAAAAATTAACAACAACTTACATTTAATTATTTTATATTCTTATATTAATATTTGATACGCATTAATCAGTATTAGAATTGTAGATTTTATTTTAGAGAAAATGCTTTGTTAAATTATAACATAAATAATTGTCACTCGCGCGCACATGTCTGAAAATATTTTTATCTACCTTTGCAGAAGGGCCCCTGCCGTCCGTGTTACAGGAGGTTGCAGTACCGGTTATCAATAATACCGTATGCGAATCGATGTACAGAAACGCGGGTTACATCGAGCACATTCCGCATATATTTATCTGCGCCGGTTGGAGGAACGGCGGATTCGATTCTTGTGAGGTCAGTTTTCGCTGGCAATTTTACAAATTAAAAAAAAATCATCGTTCATGCCCTCTCAATTTTTTTCGAGATTTAGAATGGCAATTAAAAATATTATAAATTTTTATCTCTCGATAATACATGTAATAATTCTGATGATCATATATTACTGTGTCATAGCGAAAATATTTAAAAAAAATTTTAGAAGATTAAAACATTTTATGAATAATTTTCACAGACGCTTTTTAAACATTATAGTTACCTAAAAATTACTTATTATTATCACCATAAAAATTAGTAATAATATATTCTAACTTGTCATTTTCTACCCTCTTCAGGGTGACAGCGGCGGTCCGATGGTCATCCAAAGAGCGCGAGACAAGCGATGGATTCTTGCCGGAATTATCAGTTGGGGTATCGGTTGCGCCGCGCCCAATCAGCCCGGCGTTTATACGCGTATCTCGGAGTTTCGCGACTGGATCAATCAGATCCTGCAGTTCTGAGCGTCTCTAGACGACGAAAGAGCATGTCTCGCGCTCGAAATTCGCGCTTTCGCGTCGCGCCGACTCCTACGGACGTTTGTAACGATCGCCCAGCCGACGGACGGCACCATCTGCCGGAGCTGTGAGCCAAGTGCAATTTAGTGGAAAAATCTAAGAGATCCCGGTTGCGGGGATTCACAGAGATCTGTGCGCGTGTTGCGAACTCGAACGACATGTGGAGCCACTGATTCGATTTTCGCGTGTGAAAGCCGCGACGTACGTACATGCGATTTCCCGGGAAAATCCGTGTTACAACGATACGGTAAAGGAACAAAAGGCTGTATCGATTTGCGCGATATCGAGACACTGTGAATGTACCGTGACAAGCACATCAAACTTTGTGACAAACGATCGAAATTTTCGGTCAACTTAGATTTCTTTATCTAGAATCGTTTTAAAATAGTTAATTCCAGAACATGGAATTACCTTTTTAAAGTAAATTATTCTTTTACATATATATAGACGCTGTTCAGCATTAACTTTTTAAGTTTTCTCCTTCTACCAAACGTGTGTCGATTTATTTTTTTCTAATGTGTTCAGTTTGCTCAAAGCCTTAATGAATGCATGTAAAAATATATGCATGTGATTGCGCTAATTAATAGATCTGCAAAGGAATTATTGTATCTGTTTTTAATTTAATAATAGAAAAAATACGATAATTTGTTTGTTGAATCTCTATTACATTTAATCATTTAAACTTTAACTTTTAACTTTAAATTCAAATAAATTAAAATAATGTCCATTAAAGTACGATATATTCAATATACGAGGGCTGATTAAAAATGTCAAGAAGTATCCGACCTTTTTAGATGTGAAATCAAATAAATTTTATTTGAAATTATGTAGAGATTGAATTTCAATCTCTTTCAAAGCAAGTTTGTTGTGTCCACACACACTTATTTCAGCGTGCAGCGGTTCTTCCATACCTGCAGGAAACATTATTCAAATTCAATCTTGAAGATTGTCTCTTCAATTCTCTCGTCGCATTCTCGATAATTAAATTGTGTATCTTTTCAATTTTGTAAGTTTCGGAAAAAAGCAACCAAATTACACGGAGCCATATCTGAAAAGTAAGCCTGTCGGATCAAAGAAATGACCATAAAAAAGTCTACAAGCAAACAGGCAAATCTGAGGGTACATGATTATATGATACCGGTCAAGAATACGACGAGAGAGCTCTTGGTGATTCCCAAGATTGAGTTTGAAAAGTATTCTGGACCATGTCTTTCCATAGATTGAAACAAGTGGGTTCACAAGAAGCCTGCTTTGAAGAAGATTGAAGTCCGATCTCCATAAATATAATCTATTTGATTTCACATTCTGACCTACAGATTAGATACTTTTTGATCAGACCTTGTATAAACTTAATATAAAAAAAAAAAAATTTCCAGGCAATTTAATTCAACTTAAATCAAAATTATTATTCAATATTTACAAAAATGTTTGCAATTTAATATTTTGCTTATTTTCTCATCTATCGCTGAAAGTGATTAATCATGAAGCTACTGTGATTCAGAGAATTTACATATTTTCTTAATATGTATTTACATTTCAAAAATATAGTATAATAAGCTTTTGAATCACAGTGTGCGCAAAAATTGTTATGTAAATGTTGTTACGCGATACAACAAACACTCTACGGTGTCGTTAATAAATATTTCAAACGAAAACACTGTTAACTGAATATAACTTATAAAAATTCACTTTTTATAACTTTTTTGCCTATCGATGAACAAAGTATCGAACTCTTCGTCAGCTCTCTAAACATTTTTATATAAAAAAAATTGCGAGATTTACGTATACCATCCATATACAATGGTACCTAAATTTCTGTCTACACATGTAAATTCAAATATGCATAGCTGGGCGTAGAATAAATAGAGTATCCCAAAATCGCTGAGTGAAAAAAAAAAGAGATCTACTTCAAATTTCTCAGATTTTGTAAAATGTATTCGATTATCTTAGAATAATTAGATGAAACGAATAATATGTACATATACAATAGGTATGTACCATTTATCAATTGTGTTTATGAAAAAATTCATTATCAATATCTGCGATAATCGAGTTGCAACCTGTGATTTAATAATTCTATTAACGGCGTCCGTTACATGCAGTTCCCCTCGTTACGAATTTACATAGTAATTCCCAGCGAATTCCAATGAGAATTTCAGTGCATTCCTCAAAGCTCATGAATATCCAGTTATTCCCGATTGATCTTGGGAAGAAACGAAGGGAAATGCGACCGACTACAGCTCCACAAATTCCATCTCTTTCTCTTCCATTCTATGACGGGCGCTTCACTTCGTAGTTACTTGAGTATAGTCTCAAGTGAAAACGAATTGATGGTGCGCTAATGATAAAAACGTGCTCATTAATCTCAATGGCTCGTTTGTTACCCATCAAGCGACTCATTACGTACATTTTGATCTAAAGAATGCAATCAACGTAAATTGTGAGTTAAGTTTCGATAGCGAACCAAAAGAGTAGGGAAGACAAAAGCACCAGTACCGCGGGATACATGTACCAAGATATTATTTTATTTAATTTATAAAAAAATCTATATCTATAAATGCATAGATTATATTATATATATATACATATACGTATGTGTACACAGCGACGTACGTGCGCGTATGCGTGTAATTTAATCGCGCACGTGTATCAGATCGGGTTTGCGAAAAGAGAGCTCTGTACCGTGCTCTTCAACGAAATTTGCCAGAGCGCCTTAATTATTCAGAAACACCTCGTACGATTAATAAATCTAATGCAGTTGCACATGTTCCGATTACTCGAAAAATAAATCGTGTCGCGCGTGTTCTCGTTATCGCGCACGGGGAACGTTTCTCGGTATAATTAAAGGCATTGGCAAATGTCGCAGCGCGAGATACTGCAATCGAAATAACGCGATTCCGATTGCACATGTAAATATTTGATATCGATCGGATTGTGGTGGCGGTGGGTATGCGCGGCAGGTTTCTCACACCTACTCCGCTCTTCATCTCTCTCGTGGCCACGTCCGTCTTTGTACTTATCAGACGAGCATTAAAACGCGATCGTTCGCATCCGCAAAAGCTGTGTGTGTGTCAAGCAGTGTCGATTATATCCCTACCCCACCTCCTTCTTTCTCCTTCCTTCGCTACGGTATATGTCGCGTGCATTATATCCCCCTCTTACGTCATAGCCGGTGCATCCCCACGCCGTGCGGTGAACAATAGCGTGGGCGTTTGATATTTGCACGCCGAGGGAAGTTCGTGATTTCGAATATCGCCCACGCGTCGCAGCCGCCCACCCTCTCTCTCTTTCTCTCTCCCGGGGCTGGGGCGCCAGCGCAAACGGGGACAGACGAGGGGTGGAATTTTGCAAAATTGAGTTCCCCGCTTTAATGAACGGTCCTCGATAAACTCCTAACGAGGTGAGATCGCAATACGATACCGCGAGTGTTTGACGTGAAAACTTTGACACAATGTTAAAATTTGTATTACGAAAATTCGAGATATTCAGATTTATCTCCCCTTCACATTGAGTTACAAGTTACTGCTGAGCTACAAGCAGCTTTCGTTATTGAATTGCTATAAAACTTTATCGAGAGAGACACGTATATCTTAAAACTTTTTAATCGAAAGACAAGAAAATTATCCGTAAAATCAAAGTTGGAATTAAAATTTACAACCAGAATAAAATATACATTCAATTTGTATACAATTCGCAACCAGGTTTAATTTTGTGCACATTCTATGCATATTAAAAACGCTACAGATATATTATAAATATAATATAACTATAAAAAATTAGATTTACAGCGAGTTACAAATACGCCTACATTCAATTTGTATACAATTCGCAACCAGGATTAATTTTGTGCACATTCTATGCATATTAAAAACGCTACAGATATATTATAAATATAATATAACTATAAAAAATTAGATTTACAGCGAGTTACAAATACGCCTACATTCAATTTGTATACAATTCGCAACCAGGATTAATTTTGTGCACATTCTATGCATATTAAAAATGCTATAGATATATTATAAATATAATATATCTATAAAAAAACTAGATTTACATCGAGTTACAAATACGCCTTCACAGGAAGAGAGAATTTTTATGGCATAACAGATTCGATTTACGCCTTTATTCGTCATGTTTCCCACGCTGGATATTAGAGTGTTAAATGCATGCATCGCGCACGGAGTTAGCATCCTCTCGGCGGTCATAAATTTTCCGGATGCTAACGGTACATTACCAATCGTTAAAGATCGAGTTCGGAAGGATTGGCTTTCCTTCTCGTGTGAAAGATATCGACCGATTGGTCGGATGCTGAAGCATTTCTCAGATACAGTTAAAATTCAACGAGCTCGCCTCGGAGCATCTATTTCCTTTCGTTACTTTATCGGGAAAAATATATAGAAAAATAATTTAGCAAGCATAGCATTAATTATGACAGGTACCGATATGCTACGATTTGCCGATATATATATTCGACGACCGTCGATTATCGTTAGTACATACTTCACAGATCACTGGTGCCCGTACAGTTGTAAGTTGTGAAATCGATTTCAGAGATTAAATGCAGCAGAACGAATTCGAGTTCCCTCGATTTATGAGATTCGTTCACGAGAACGCAAATATGCGAGGAAAAATTTCGTACAGCAAAAATTTGTTCTAAGCTTCATCCCTTGGAACGAAACATGAAGGTACACAAAGTATAAAAATATTACCTATTTTCTTTTCTTTTTACTTCGAGTTTTCCTTGTTCAAGGTACATTTCAGAAAAATTAAAATGCCGTAAAATGTATCTTCGAATATCACTCCAACGGATAAACGTACGAAGAAAAATTCTTTCGTGATCGCAAATGAAAACACGCGATATTATTCAAATGTATCCGTCTTTTCATCGCATACAGAATTATCATAAAAAGATGCCGTAGAGAGCTAAATTATAATTGCAAATTGGTAAAAAACTCTCTCAAGTAAACTTTATGTTAATCAAGGTGTTAATTCGCGAGTTGCTGTAAGGCAAAATTGTCACACAGAATTTGTAGAACAGTAAAGTGCACAGTATTTCTAATAAACTCCGCATATACCGTTATATGCGATAGAACGTGAAACAACAAAGCGAATGAGCAGCATTAATGAGAATCGAAATTGAAAAGCTTGTTGTTTTACTCAACGCAAATAGAAGAGAGAAAGGGGAAGAAAGGTTCCATTGTAACTCTCGGGTTAGGTAAAAAGGTTCTTTCTATGTTATTTCTCTCACTTTATTTGCCACAGTAACGAGTTTCAGAGACAAAGTTATGGCGGCGACTTACCCATGCGTTTCTCTCTATGCAAAGCTTGATTTATTTATAAATATAGACAGGAAACATTTTGTCGTGTCTGTTAGTTAATCTCTCTCATGACTCGCAAATGCCACAGGAAAATTATAGACAATATTTTTCAGAAATTTTTACACCTGTTTCTTTAACGCTGTCCTTTAATTTATTAATACAAATATTTGTTATTTAAATAACAATTATCACGGTTTTTTTAAGTTTCTAATTAGCGTAAAATGTAATAATATCAGAAAACTTATAATTATAAAAGAAACGCAACTTTCATTTTATTATCAGCATATGAGGTCACGAGAATAAAGCTCCATTTATTTATAAATATCCACGGATAAAATTTTTCGCATTAATTAATATTTCTCATGACTTATAAATATCATAGAAAAATGGTCGACAATAATATTTTTGAAATTTTTTTCTATCTGTTCCTTTAATGCTGTATTTTAATTTATTAATTTAAATGTTAAATAACAATTATCATGGTTTTTTAAATTTATAATTAGAGCAAAATATAATTTAATAATCAAAGAACTTTGTAATTATAAAAAAGATGCAAGTTTCGTTTTATCATCCGCATATGAGGTCTGTACAAGGAAAAATAATAATCACGCTTTATATTTCCCGATCAAAAGTACGAACCGGCCTAGAAAGGAGAAGAGAGAATCGCGGTTTTTAAATTATATTTAATGGGGTAAACACGACACAATCGTTGTGAGCGATTTATGCGGCAGTACAATTCTTTCGGAATGTGACTCTCTCTCTTCTCCTTTCTCGTGATTTCATTGGCACGCCGTGACTCGGGCACACGGCAAAATAAGCTTGTTAAAATAATGTTTGCGCTCGAAAGCGATTTATGTGAACAACTTTTTCCCCGGCACAATGCCGTAATGGAACCCAACGAGTCATGTTGCCCGAGCCTGATGGATCCGTCAATTGATTCCATTGAATTTTTTTACGATCCGTTATATACGTCTTACGCTCGCGAAAAGAAAATGTAAATTTCTAAACATTGCTATAAGTTTTCTTTGATATCCAATTTTTTTACTCGCGGCGATGAGTGTTCCGCGTCTATCGATCTACACTTATTACTTTTCTCTCCACGCTCTCTCGTATCTCTTTTAGATCGAAACTTCCGGAATGCTGCCTTCATTCCATCCACTTGTCACTTCCGGCTTTAACGCTTGCAATTATTGGTTTTACACGGAAAATAAGTAAATTATTATAATTATTACGAATTAACTAACGCGCGAAGCTGATATCGTCAGACATGCCTGGTAACAACTTAAACCGGTGAATAAATTTGCCTCAAATCTAGATAAGACATACAACATTGGCATTGAAAAGTTAAAAAGTAAATATCTGAAATTAGGTCAATGTCTGTAATAATTAAACTTGATGACATTAACGAACATTAATGAATTTGCTTCAGAAAACAAGGATTATTTCCAAGTATTGCTAAACTGTAACATTCTTGAAAAGCTCTTCGAACTTATTATCTTCACCTTACTTCGTTAGTTTTAAGGCACTTTTTACTCGTTACATTTAAAATACGTTAAT